ATGCAGTTAATTCCTTCTTGTCCCTCCCGTCAGAGTCGGAATTGGTCCCTGCTCTTCCGGGTTACAATTTTCCTGATAGTCCAACTTCATATTACTCCTTAACATGTTTTCCCTCCGGTTAACATATGAAATGTGCCTAGTTTTGTGCTATTGCTCCCCTCTGGGTGGAGAAGTTATCAGGTAATAGGAAGACCAATCTAGAGGTTATTGCAGTTATTTAGGCAAGAGGTAGTGAGGTCCTTAACTAGAGTGCTAGATGTGGACATGTGTTGTGGAGATAAAATTGATGAAATTAAGATGACTTTAAGTTGGGAATCAATGGTGGTGGTACCATTGATAATAATAAGGAACTTAGAAGAGTGAATCCTGTGGGGGGAATAATGAGATGATAATTTTGAACATGTTGAATTTGAAATGTCTATGGGATATCCAAGTAAAGGTATCCAGTAATTTCATTGGTGGTGCTTGGAATTGGAATTTAGGAGGGAGGTGAGAGATGGATGTACAGATTTGTAAGATATCTGCATAGAAATGATTATTGAACCCGTGATTCCTTCCTCAATCCTGTAACCTTCAGGCTATTCTAATCTCTTAGGTCGATTAAAAAATTGCAATTCTGGGAGTTGGAGTTAAGATGTCATTGTAATAGGACATAGAAGAGCAGGTCTAAAAATGTACCACACAGAACAATGATAAATAAAGCCAAAGACAAGTAGCTGTACGGGAAGCTCTTGCTTCCAGTCTAGGACTTCACAAGAAAATTGCCAGAAGTCTCTTGAGTGGAGGTGGGCCAGAGAAGTGGAAACTGCAGCGACTGGGCAAGCTGTACCGGAGCCACAGCAGGAGACAAGGCCAGCAGAGTAAGCAGGCATCCAGAACTGCTTCACTGTAGGAAGAAGAGCCAAGACATTGCCCAGGAGTTAGGGGAGCATGGAAAAATTTACCTGTCAGATCTAAGTTTATGACCAAACAAGATAGAGAGGATGATAGGAAATAAAATAGATAATTTCAGTTACATGAAATTAGAAAGGGTTTGCACAAATAAAACCAGTGCAGCCAAAAATTGGAAGAAAGCTGGAAACTAGAGAGAGAAAAATTTACAGCAAGGTCCTCTGATAAAGGCCTCATTTCTTAAATTTATAAGGAACTGAGTTAAAAATAAGAGCCATTCCCCAGTTGATAAAGAGTAAAGAATATGAACAGGTAGCTTTCAGAAAAAGAAATCAAAGATATCAATAGTCATTGCATATGTATAATCTATGTATCCAATTGCTTGTTTTCTTAGGGAGGAGAGGGGAAAAATCTAGAACTCAAAATTTTTTTAAAAGAATGTTAATTTTTTTACATGTAATTGGGGGAAAATAAAATATTAAATAAAAAGATGTAGTCATATAAAATGCTCTAAATCACTACTTAGAGAAATGTGAATTAGAACAACTTGGATATACTACCTGACACCTATCAAATTGGCTAATATGACAGAAAAAGAAAATAACATGCTGGAAGAGATACAGAAAAATAGGAACATTTATGCATTGTTGGTGAAGTTATGAACTGGTCCAACCATTTTACAGAACAACCTGGAACTATGCCCAAAGGGCTATAAATCTGCAATACTCTTTGACCCAGCAATACCACCACTAGGCTGTATCCTAAGGAGATCAAAGTAAAAGGACATGAATGTGCAAAAATATTTATAGCAATTCTTTTTGTAGTAGCAAATAATTGGAAATTGAGGGAATGTCCATCATTTGGGTGATGGTTGAACAAGTTCTTCCCTTTGATATGTCCTCAGAAATATCAACAAAATTGGCCTACTCAGTGTGTAGGTTCACAATATAGCAAGTCAGTTGTACAGCAAAATAGGAACCTTAGTTCAAAGAGGTTTATGGTGGTGACAAAACACAAATATGGTGAACAAATCATACAGAATCCAGAACATTCTTTTAAACATTGGCAAATAGCAAACAAATGTTACTTCAATAAATCTGGGAGGAATAAAATATATAGCTTGAACAACCTCGGTCTTAACTTTCCAAAAGGATTAGAATATTATTGAGAGAAACTGGGGTCCAGGTCTGCAAAGAAACAAGATATGATATGATGGAATATTACTGTGCAGTAAGAAATGATGAGCAGGATGGGTTTCAGAAAAATCTGGGAAGATGTATATGAATTGATGCTAAGTGAAATGATCAGAACCAGGAGAACATTTTAAATGGTAATGGTAAACAATAAACATGAACTTGGATAGTCTTCAAGAGATAATGGAGGATATAAGGGCCTGGCATGCTGTGGTCCATAGCATGTAGTATTGTACACAGCTGAACAACATCAAAAAAAATAAGATGACCAACTATGAAAGACTTAGCTACCATAATCAATATAATGATCCATGACAATTCTGAAGGAATTATGATGAAAAAATGCTATCCCCCTACTGGAGAAAGAACTGATGAACTCTGAGTGAAGATTGAAGCATACTATTTTACTTTGTTTTTCTTGCCTTTTTAAAAAATGACATATATGGAAATCTGTTTTGCATGATTTTACATATAATTGATCTATTTTGGGGTTGAGGAGGTATTTTAAGAATTTTGAAGTCAAAATGTAAAAAAGTGAGTGTTAAGAGAAAAAAAATTCTTTTAACCTGTGGACGGTATTATCCATAATCTCTATGGGACTTGGACAAGGTGAAAAGAAAAAATGACATGTAAATATTACAACACAACTTTCACATGAGTTGCATGTGCACTGGTTTGATACTCTTCCTGTAGCTCTGAATTTTACAAAGTTAACTCCATAAGGTTTGCACTGACTTTTACAGAACTAGTTACTGGAAGGCCAATGCTTTGTCAGGCCCTCCTAAATTACATTGTCTTTTCAACTAGCAGGTTTGAGCAGCATTACCTAGGGGACAAAGGGACAGTGCATGACTACTGAAAGAAACACTTCTGAAAATCTGCCCTAGAAACAACATGGAAAAGTCCATCCCAGTGTAAGCAAATAACATTGGACAATTTGTGAATAGTGGTCTAGGACAGACCCTTTTAACCTAGAATTTCCGAGGGAAAATGTTTCTCAGCTAACCACAAGAAGAAACCTAATGCCTAAATGGACATTAATATTTGTCACCTATTTGTTTTTGTCTTCCTGATTACAGTCATGTCTATTGTCCGTTTTCTCATAATAATATCCTAATGCTTTTGGAAAGTTAAGACCAAAAAAAAAAAAGGTTAAGACCAAGGTTGTTCAGGCTGTATTTTATTCCTCCCAGATTTATTGCAGTCACATTTGTTTGCTACTTGGTCAATGTTTTAAAGAACGTTCTGGATTTTGTATGATTTGTTCACCATATTTTTGTTTTGTCACCACCATAAATCTCTTTGAACTAAGGTTCCTATTTTGCTGTGTAACTAACTGACTTTCTATATTGTGAACCTATGCATTGAGTAGGCCAATTTTGTTGATATTTCTGAGGAATCATCAAAGGGAGGAATTGTGGAGGAGGTAAATTGTGAATTTTGAGTAAATGTCTCCAAAAAGTAACCTTTGAAATTAAAGAAGCAGCTAAAAGAAAGAATTGTAAAAATAGAGAGCCTCAACCTGGCAAGAACAGAGTGAGCCTTACTGATTTCTATCTTGAAGGAGACCTCCACTATCTTAGAGATTTCTGGCTCCACAAGGATATTCTGATGAGATTAAAAAGAAAACATCCTCAGTGGAATAGACCTGATATTTGGCAACTCTTGAGAATCCAAAGTTAACTCAGTCCAATGGTGCTTTTTTGCTCTCTAAAGTTACCAGTGATCTTTCAATTGCCAAATCCCCAATCGCCTTTTCTCAGAGGCAATTTTTTCATTCTCCTCAACTTCTCTGCATTTGAAAAAATTTCCTTTATTAAATTCCCCTAATGTATTTCATTTTATAGCTTAAGAACTATGGTTTATAGTAATTTTTTTAAAAAACTAGATTTATGCATAACTTTCAAAAAAAGATTTTTTTTAATATAGTATACTTCCATTGGATCTGTGCTGCTAAGCACATTCATATATAAGGTAATGGGTTATAAGTCCAAACTGTTATTTTACAGATGAGGAGCCTGTGGCTTAAGATTACACATTAATTAAGTATAACTGAGCTATGATGTGAATTCCCATCTGCTGATCTGAAAGAGAAACTGGCCCAGTCCATAGCCTCTACTGCTAACTATGGCAACATCTCCATAGTGCAACAACATTTAGTCTTACCTTTCTCTCTTCTTTCCTCTCTAGACTTCCCTTCTGGGGGTGTTCTAGTAGTGAACACTCCCTCCTCAAATTACCATGTATATGTTTGTTTACATGTTGTATCTCCTTTCCTTTCTTCCCCCCACCCCCAGTAGAAAGTAAGTTCTTTGAAAGCTGGGGTTATTTTTCTTCTTACCTTTGGATCTCTACCACCTAGCATTTAGTAGGTGTTTAATGAATGTGATTGGGTAGGACCTCAAATTCATATATTTTCCCTATTGCCTTCTAGTTTATTTTTTTAATTCTGTTTACTCTTAATTGTAAAAAACATGAAAATTACATCATCAATTGAAATAAGTTAGTTTCTGGTTTTCTCTTTTCTTTTTTTTTTTTTCCCTGTTATTGAGAGAGAAGGAATAGGAGAGTGGGAGAAGCCCTAGACTGAGAGTCAGAAGATCTGATTTCCTTTTCCAGTACTGGTCCTGACACTAACTGACTTTGTTACCTTGAGCAAACCACAAAACCTTTCTAGGTTTTAGTCTGCGAAATGATAATAGAATCATTGATTTAGAGCTCAAACTGTCTTTTCTCTTAAGCCATCTAGTTCAGTCCCTTAATTTTACAGAGGAGGAAACTGGTGTCCAGGGAGGTTGAGAGCTTGGCCCTTTCCGGCTCCAATTTCTTAGGCAAAATTTTTTGCATGTGTTTCAAAAATGAGGGAGAGAAAAGAAAACCCACACAAAATTACCTTTTTTCTGTAATGTGTTACAGGTACAAATGAGTTGTGATGGAAACTTTGAAAATGTAGAGCTGGGTGTCATAGGGAAAAAAAAGAAAATTCCAAGACGAGTTATTCACTTTGTCAGTGGTGAAACCATGGAAGAATATAGCACTGATGAAGATGAAAGCGATGGTCAGGAGAAAAGAGATCTTTTACCTACTATTGATCCGGTAGGTTTTTTACTTTTTCTTTTTTATTACCTGTCTTTTGCCCAGATAAATATCGTAGAAGGATCTTTGAAAGAAAAACTAGTCATTTTCATATTTATTTTGTAACTGTTCATGACATTATTAATATTCTTAGGTCTGTGTACATGTAATTTTGAGAGGCAGCTTGGTACAGTAAATAGAGTGCTATACTTGGAGTGCCTGCTCTGACATTTAACTACACAATCATGGGCAACGTAATGCAACCTCTCTGAGCTTTGGCTTCCTTCTTTGAAAAATGGAGATAATAAAACCTCTCTGATTTAGTTCTTAAGGTTGTTATGAGGCTCAAATGAGAAAGTGGATATAAAGCATTTTGCAAAGTCAGTTATTAATGTTATCTTACCTGTTTGAAAGGTATGCTTCCTTTCTTTATATGCTTCCTATTATGTGGAGACTTTATGAGTGGCAATATTAATATCAAAGGTTCTTTTTCAAGTGTCTTACTGGAAAATCAAGTAATACAAAACCCTCTGCTAACAAGTATGGTAAGCTGTTCCTTGGTTTATAAATATTTTGATGTGAGATAATAGGTCTTACAGTCCTTTTGTCTCTCTGCAAGTTTGTACATAATAATGATGAATAAATAGTTCACTTACATAGGGCCTACTATGTGCTAGGCATTGTGCTAAGCACTTTACAAATATTTTATTTGATTCTTTCAGTAATGCTGGGAAGTAGGTGCTATTATTATCCCCGTTTTGCATTTGAGGAAATTGAGGCCAGTAGTATCTGAGGCTGGTCTTTCTGACTCTAGGCCCACAGTTCTATCCACTGTACCACCTGAAGCTTTCTCCAAATAAGCATAAACCAGCCTGAATAAACAAGTCTCTCTTCCACTGTCATGTACTATAAGGAAGAGCCTAGAACTTCTCTCAGCCTTTTCCAAATGAGATGAAGGAATAATTAATATGAAAAAAGAATCTGGGGCAGCTTAACCCCTATTGCCTTGTCCAACCCCACCCCACCCCCAAAAAAAGAAAAGATTACTTTATTGGGGTAGCTAGTTGTACAATAGATAGAGCTCTGGCATTGGAGTCCTCCTGACTCCAGGGTCCTCCTGAGTTCAAATCCAGGCTCAGACACGTGAAACTTAGTAGCTATGTGACCCTGGTCAAGTCACTTGACGCCTATTGCCTCACCAAAAAAAAGAGAGAGAGAGAAACTGTTACAGGATAAATTAGGCTTGACTTCTTTCTTTTTATTAATTGCTGAATTTACCACAATTAAGTGGCCGCTTAGGATCATTTGGACCATAGATTGAGAGCTGCAAGGGTCCATAAAGACCATCTAGTCCAGCCAGATGAGAAAACGAAGGCCCAGAGAATCCATGTGACTAGAGTGTACATGACTTGCCCGAGGTCACACAGCTGATAAATGGCAAAATGGATTTGACTTCAAATCAGCCCACCTTCAACTATACTATGCTATTTCCAAACAATAAATTATATATGCTATGGTGGACCAGCTCTCATCTGTGGGACATTTTTACCTTTACTACCAAACATTCTTAGTACTTAAAATTTATAAACTTAAAAACAGATCTGTACTCCTACCCTTTGAAGTGAAGAGGGGGCAGCTAGGTGGCGAAGTGGATAGAACATCGGCCTTGAAGTCAGGAGGACCAGAGTTCAAATCCGTCCTCAGACCAAACACTTGACACTTACTAGCTGTGTGACCCTGGGCAAGAAACTTAACCCCTATTGCCTAAAAAATAAATAAATAAATAAATTAAATAAATAAATAAATAAATAAATAAATAAATAAATAAATAAATAAATAAATAAGTAAAAGTAGTGAAGAGAACCTCTGTGATAGGACTACAGAGGGCAGTGCACTCAAAAATAGAGATTTTTCGCTATTTTACAGGTCCTCTGTAGTTTGGGTAGGGAAACATTAAAGTAGATGATCTCTAGTGTGTCTTCCAATTCCAGATGTAAACTATACAGTTAAGCTAGTTTCTCTAAAGTTTCTCTAGAAATTTTATTCACCTCTAATAATCAAGAACTATGGATGTTTCAGACTACTGAAAATTCTTATAATTTTTCTTCCTGAGTTAGGAATACTTATTTTCTGTTAATCATTTTGAACGAACGAATGAATGAAAAAAACACTTATTAATTACTAGAGTGCTGTAGAAATAAATAGAAAATAAAGCCCCTATTCTCATGAAACTCAGAATTCTAATGGGGAGGCAACACATATAGAAGGTTTCAGCTTCAGATCAAGTGGAAAATCCCATGGTCCTGAGGGTATAGTGGCAGAGAAGCTGAAAATGCATTTTTTAAAATGTCATTTCCACTGATAAAATCTTACCAGTTTCTGATGGTGAACCGTTTGACAGCACCAAAGCCTCTGGGGGCAAGAACTTTCTTCTCTGGGTCTCTATTAATTATGATTACAAAAGCATCAGCAGAAGCAGTTGCCAGGTGGCATATCTACTGTGTGGTTGCTTCCACAGATGTGACCTCAGGGCTGGTCTGGTCTGAGAGGGACTACTGTTCCTAACGCCCTTAGGTTCAGGGTCCTGAGCTATCTCCTTGGAGTCTGAAGGAAGTGTGGTGATGGTAGTTTGATTTGCCTGCCCCGGTTTCCCTCAGAGTGCCTTGCAGCTTCACCTAGGTAGGCTTCCTAATTATGAAATAGACTTATGAATTTACCTAAGTTATTTATAAATAGAGCCAATAGGATTTAGTAACATGGGGGTGAGAGAGGGAAAAGGCCTTCCTTAGTGATGGGAAAATTATTTTGAAGTTAACAGAAATAAGGTAGGTAGGCATAGGTTAGGTTTTAAAGGACAAATAAGTTTATTTTAGACATATCAGTTTTTAGATGGGATATCTCCGTAGAAGTGATCATTGGGCATTTGCAAATGAGGTTTGAGAGAAGTATTGGATGGAGATATAGATTTGGAAGTCATTTGTGTTGAGGTGATCATTTGAAGCTTTGGCAGTTTATAGGACTGAAGAGAGAGAAAAGGGCCAAGAATTCATCTTTAAGGGAATGCCTGCATTTGAGAGACTAAAGGAAGAAGCTAGGTATAGAGACATGAGAGAATCAGAGGTAAGGCATAGACCATGAGGAAGGACAAGTTGTGATTGGCAGTACCAAAGCCCTTAGAGAGGTGAAGCAGGGTAAGTAGAGAGGAAAAAGCCATTGCATCCACTGATCCTGAAGAGTGTCTGGCTATTATGTTAGTATGAAAGAAGCCAGTTGCAGTACAATACAATAAGCAATTACTAAGAATCTATTGCATGTAATGTTAAAGGAGGTAAAAAGTTTAAATAAGACAGTCTCTTTTCTCAAAGAGCCTACTGATTTGTAAGGGGGTTAAAGAATGAATAAAGTGTTAGTGAAATGAAGTCATTTTGTATAGATCATTTTTTTTCCTAAAAGTTTATTAATGAAGGGGAGCAAAGTTCTAGAGAATCTTGAGAAAAGGTAGTTTAAAAAATTTTTAAGGATGTGAATGAAGAGTGTTTGTAACCTCCGTCAGATTTTAAGCTAAGGGCAAATAAGGTTTTATTTTGGTCTTTTTATCTACCGTCCCTAGCATAGTTCCTTGTAAAAATGTTAGGCTTTTAATAAATATTTGTTGAATTTAATTTCTTTCTTTTCTTTTCTTTTTTTTTTTAAGAATTGTAGCCTTTAGACATTTATTTTTTTCTTTTTCTTTTTTTAAAAATTATTTTTAACTAAAATACGAAAAGTTAAATACACAATAAGAACAGAAAAAGAAACATACACTTAAATAATTAAAACTTAAATACAAAATAATTAAAGAAAAAATATTGCCATGTGCATAGCAGAATGTAAGAGAGAATTCAAAATATACAGCAATAAATTTCCATTTCAAGAAAGCCTATATAGTAAATAGTACCCACTGTGCTCAGAGCTGTCCGTCTGTCTGTCTGTCTGTCTCTCTCTCTCTCTCTGTCTCTCTCTCTCTTTCTCTTTGCTTCCTTGTAAGTTTTCTTTTGTTCTCTGCTGTGCACTTTTTACTTTGTTCTTTTTTTCCTCCCTTCCCCCAAGGTGACTACAATTAAGTGTAGATATATTTTTTAAATATACACATACATGTATACATATATACAAACATACACACACATATATACTCTTCAGAAGATGATACTAAAGCAAAAAAGAGCCCCTTATATGTATATACATACATATACACATACACACATATACATGTACTTAAATATCTGTAATAATAGCCATATATTGACGTATACATGTGTATTCATCTATATAAGACCGTATTTTATGTATTTGTCTTCTGTTTCCTCTGAGGGTGGATAACCTCTTTCTTCATAAGTCTGAGTCTCTCCATATTTTTCTAAGCCCACCAACTCATCATTTCCTACACCATAGCAATAGCCCTACCTTATACTGTCTAGTAATTTTAAATAGTCTAAAACAATATTGATTAATATTGCTGACATACAGTGTAGTATCCCTATTATTTTCTTTTGATTAAATCTATTTTAGCTTTAACTTTGTCTGAGATCATGATTACTACCCCGCTTTTCTTCCCCTAATAAATTCTACTCCTGATCTTTATTTTTATACTTGTGTGTATCTCTTATTTCCTGTTCCTCCTGACTCCTTTACTTTACCCACTACCTTGCCCTCCTATTACTTAACCTTCCCCCTTCCAGGATCCCTCCTTTATCCTCCCATTCCTGTTAATCTACCCTCCCCCCCATCCCTTTAGCTTTTTATTTCTGAATTTAGAAGACTTTTATCCCCTCCTAGATATATATGTATTGTTCCCTCTTGAACCCATTCCCCATGAAAATGGGGTTCCAGGACTACCAGTCCTCCTCCTCTGTCTAATTCCTCTGTGTCAGTTCTTCCTTTCACACCTCATTTGTGTAAAGTAAATTACTCTTTTTATCTTTCCCTCAATGGCTTTGCTTTTTAGAATCATATCATGCTCATGTCTACTCCAAGCTTTCTTATGAACTAATTACTAATTAGAATCTTACATATACATTTTACATTTCCTTATACAAAAAGTAAACAGTCTGTCCTTATTGAGTCCCTTGTAATTAGTCTTTCATATGTACCTTATATTTCTCTTGGATGTTATCTGTCAGATTTTCTAATTAGTTCAGGTCTTTCTGCAGTGAAATCCTGAAAGTCTTGCAATTCATTGAATATCCTACTTTTTTCCCTTTATTCAGGATTATGCTTAACTTTGCTGGGCATATTTTCAGCCACAATCCTAGTTCTTTTGCTCTTCAGTATGTAATGTTCCAAGACCTTCAGTCTTTAGTGTTGCTGCTGCTAGGTCTTAGGGTGATTCTAATTGTGGCTCCACCGTGTTTGAATTGTTTTTTTTCTTGTTGCTTGTAATATTTTTTCCTTGAGCTGGGGATATCGGAATTTCACTATGATATTCCTGTAGGTTTTCCTTACAGAATCTCTTTGAGGTGGTGATTGGTGAATTTTTTTTTCTTTTTCTACTTTCCCCTCTTGTTCTAACACTTCAAGACAGTTTTCTTTAATTATTTCTTGTATTGTTGTATCAACTTTTTTTTTTTTATCATAGCTTTCAGGTAGTCCAGTTATTCTTATGTTTTTTTCTTCTTGATCTGTTCTCCAGATCAATTGTTTTTCTTATGAGATATTTCACATTCTCTTCTATTTTTTCATTTATATTTTGTTTCATTATTTCTTGGTCTCTTATAAATTCAGTGGCTTCTCCATGCTCAGTTCTAATTTTCAAGGAGTCATTTTCTTCCTTAAGATTCTGGATCTCCTTTTCCAGTTATTAACTTTCTTTTCATAATCTTCTTGTTTTTCTTGGATTGCTGCTGTTGTCAGGGGTTTTTTTTGTTTTGTTTTGTTTTGTTTTTTAAAATTTTCCTCAGTCTCATTTGATTTTTAAAGTCTTTTTTAAGTTCTTCTGTGAATCTTTTTGGGCAGGTAACTATTTGACATTACTCTTTGGAGTAGTAGGGGCTCTTTTTTGCTTTAGTATCATCTTCTGATGATGAATTCCGGGGGCAGCTAGGTGGTGAAGTGGATAGAGCGCCAGCCTTGGAGTCAGGAGGACCTGAGTTCAAATCCGGCCTTGGACACATAACATTCACTAGCTGTGTGACCCTGGATAAGTCACTTGTCTAGCAAAAACAAAACAAAACAAAAAAAAGATGAATTCTGGTCCTCTTGATTTCCATAGTAACTTTCTATAGTTGTGTCCTTTATCCTTTGCCTGCTCATTTTTTTTTTTAATTTATTAGTAGCAGCTTATTATTGTAATCACCTGGGATATGTCCTGGGGCTTGGGGAATGGTGCCTCTGGCGTCAAATTCTCCTTCAGTTTTCCCCTCTGACCTGGAACCAAAACCAAGAACTCCGCCATCTTTTAAGTGCCCACAGCCGCTGGCGTCCCTGCCCAACTGCTTCTTCACTCACTGGGCATATCCTGGTTCCTTCTTACCCAGGACCACATTTTGGCTGCACATCTGGGCCTGGCATCCCATATCAGCAAAGGTTCCCTCAATCTTCCCCCACTCAGATGCCTGACTCCCCACACTGTCTGGGAGGTAAAAGTTCCTATGGCTGGAGCCAAGGTTATCTCCCAACACAGCCAGTCCCAGAGCTTGCCACTTGCTGTTTCAGCAAAACTAGCCTGGAGGTGTTTCATAGGGACCACTAAGTTTGGATCTTCTCCAATTGTCCCAGGAGGGACCACTGTTCTGCCCCAATTCTTGTTTATTTTTAACCTATCTCCATTCTCCCTGAGGCATTATTTTATCTTGATTGTGGGGGAAATCTGGAGAGCTTGGAATTTTCTGAGCTACTCTACCATCTTCCCAGAATCCTCTCAAATTTAATTTATTTCACTTGTAGGTAGAAGAGGAGAGATTGAAGCTGGAAGAGAGGTAGAGGAGGAAAGATTGAAGCTAGAAGAGAGGTAGAGGAAGAGAGATTGAAGCTGGATGATGGCTGGCTCAGGGTCTTGAAGGAGGTAGGAAAATGGGGTCAAGGGCAAAGAATATTTTGTAGGGACATGCTAAGTATTAGTTATACTGATTTAACAAGTATAGGTATTGGAGAAAAAAAAAGAAAAAGTAGCATTGTGCAGGGAAGGATATAATATCTTAAGAATGTATTTTGATATAGATGAAACAAAAATAAGAAATGAGAGGGCAGGAAGAAAGCTAGAACAAGTTAGAAGAGAAAAGTTTCCTTTGAAAAGGAGTGCTTATATTGAGTATGAATATCATTCCTGTTTATCACATATCTGATTGTGATTGTCATACTAGTTGTTTTTGTTTTGTTTTTTACCAAATTAAGGTGTACTTATAAAGTAATTTTTTTAAAAAAATCAAATAATCAACAAATCAAACATACTAGAACTTGTACATATGAGTGTATTGTTTTCAGAGAAGTCATTTTGGGAGACTAGTTTACAACAAGCACGAGAAAGTCAGCCTGTCTTAATACAGGTTCAGTAAGATTAGGGATCCCAAAGTGTAGCACAGGTAAACATAGAGCACACAACAAGGCAGAAAAAGTAAAGCAAACCAGCCAGCTTTATTGATGGGACATATTCGAAAAAGAAGGGCATTTAGGGAGAATGAAAACTGGTCAGGTCTACTGGGGTTTGGTGGAAGGGATGGCACCAAAACCAGTAAAGTCTGGTGGGTTTTTATTGGGTTCTTCTCTGAGTTCAGCAGGACCAGGCATTGTGGGGACAGAGTGAGAAGTTTGGATGTGGAGACTAGAGCTGATTGTTACTGGGGTGGGGAATGCCCAAAAGGATAGAGAAGATGCCTGGGAAACTGGTGAGTAATTAATACTTAGGCTGGTTATGTCTCTTCTGTTCTTATTTTGACAGGGTACCTTAGGAGATTTGTGTTTCGCTGAGGCTGCATCTTTTAGCAGGGCAGGGATTATCACCTCAAAATCACATAATCACATTATCACAAAATCACCTAAGTTGGCAACAGAGGTAGTCAGTAAAATCAGTTATAGAGGAAATTTTGTCCTGGATAATTCTCTTGAATTAAAATTCAACAAATGTGCCCTGGGGATACAAACATTAAAAAAAAAAAAAACATTCATAGAATCTAGAATTGTAGATTTGGAAGGGATCTCTTTGCATCTAATCCAACCTATTAACTGAAAGAAATCACCACTGTCAAATATCCAACACACAGAACTATATTGGAAAATAACAAGTTATACACTGTTAGCAAAGGTAATTTGCCTACAGTATGCTTTTAAAAACATAACTTGATTTTTGGTAAAGATAATGGAAAAGATTGTAGACTCACCTCCCCTAATAAATTCTCTAGGAAAGTTTTAAAAGGATACCAGATGAGACAGTGATGAATATGTAAAACCAAAGTTCCTCCATCCATTCCAGGACTTCATAAGAGAATGGCTAGAGGGCATTTACTAAGGGGACCTGAAGCAAGCTGTATTTTTCTGGCTTGGGGAGACCCAAAGCAAGATAAAGTTAGCTCCTGAGAGGTCACTGTTCAGGAGATAGAGAGGACTCCACCATGGACTTGTATGCATGTTTTGGAGCCTTCTCAGAGACCTTAAGTTAGGATCTCTATGAAAGACAGAGGCAGCTTTCATCAACACACTACTTTCATAACCTGGAGGCAGGGTGGGAGAAGTACCCACTTTGAGGCCTAAAATTTATGAGGTTTCTGTATTCAGTGCCAAGGTACAGGTATTGAGGATAAGAAGCTGAGGCAGAAGCTCCTCATAACCCTCCACAAAGCCTGAAGCCTCTTCTCAGGGCCTCTGTTAGGGACAAGCCCAATTCCTGGTTTAGTGACTGTGAAGAAGAGGCAGAGAAAAGGCCGAAACCAGCACTGTATTGTGCCACCAGGAATCAGAGGCAAAAACCAGGAATTTCAGCAGAGGGTGAGGCCTAATCCCAGGTCTAAAACCAGTTTCCTTTTCAAAACCAATGCTGAAGCATAGAGCCAAGAACCAGCTACCCCATCCAGAACTGTAGTGAGTCTGTGGCAGAAGAAGTAGCATCTGTATTACAGTAGGGGCAGGAACAGTCAGGGCTTGCCTATACCAATTAAGAGTGGAAGGAGCAGGCGGCAGCTAGCTGGCGAAGTGGATAGAGCACCAGCCCTGAAGTCAGGAGGACCTTAGTTCAATCCGGCCTCAGACCAAACACTTGACACTTAGTAGCTGTGTGACTCTGGGCAAGTCACTTAACCCCAATTGCCTTTAAAAAAAAAAAGAGAGAGTGGAAGGGGCAGAGCCTGGCACTAGTATAAAGTCTCAATCCAGGAATCGAGGTTGGAGGGGTTAGTAAATGAAAGAGAACTCTGAATACTACTGTATCTTCCTGTATAAGAAATAAAGCAAGTTTAGAAAAGCCCAAAAGAACTCTGTAAGTACAAGTAAAGCCTCAAAATAATTGACTTGGCCACCAGGACTCTTACGAGTATATGAAGAAATGAAGCAAGATAAAATTAAATTAGAGCTCTTGAGGAAAAAAATTTTCAGGAGAACAAAATGGCTTAGAACAGAAAGTAGAAAACATCATTCAAGTAGTGAACTCCCTGAAAAGAGTGGAGCAAAAAGAATTCAGTTAGGATCTCTAATCCATTTCCTGGATTTTGCCTGCTTCTGTATCCATCTCCTTGCAAGGTCTCTCTCCAGGCACTATGTTGGATGCTGAGGAATTGAAAGACAAAAACAAAATAACCCCTGTCCTCAACGAGTTTATGCTGTAACAGGAGAAAACCAGACACATAGAAGCTTGTGCAAAACACATATGAAACACCTTCGTGAGTAGGAAGGCACAAGCAACTGGAGGGACCAGGAAAGGCCTCTTCCTAAAAAAAAGTGATGCTCAAGTTAAGACTTGAAGGAGACTAGGAACACTTAAGGGCAGAAGCTAGGAGGGAAAACATTCTAGGCACAGGGAATGGTCAGTGCGGAGTGCACAAAGGCAAATATTATGTTCATAATAAGTCTGGAAAGTTAAGATGGGGCCAGCTTATAAAGAACCTTTGGGTTCAAACAAGAGTTTACTTTTGTTGCTAGAGGTGACAGGGAGCCCATGGAGTTTATTTAGTAGGAGATGACATGGTTAGCTATGTGTAGATGAAGAACAGTACTCACTGCCAAATTCAGATTAGTTGCAATGACCAGTTTTAGTCCTGAGTAACAAATGAAGAAACATTTTCTCAATGGTGAGTTGTGAGCTGTGGGAATAGAATGTTGCATACATTGCTAGTTCTGGCCATTTTTGTCTGTTGGTTTTTGTGTGATTGTTTTTCTTTTGTAAAGGCATAAATAAAAATTTTTTTTAAAGAACCAATCATATAAGGTAACAGCTTTTTTTTTTTAAAGAGTTGATGGTCAATATGAGTAAAGCTACAGATACAGCTTATTTAGGTTTTATCAAGGCATTTGACAGAAAAAAAAAGGGCCCAGGACAGAGTTTGGGGGGACCTTCTATACTTAAGGGTCAGAAAAAGGATAATGAATTGTTGAAGGGAGACCATTTGAAAATGGTCATTTGAGAGACTTTTTGATATGTCCCATAGGAAGACCTTCTTGATTTTTTCAGCCCAGCTGATAGGATGGTGAAATACTAGACCAGAAGAATGTGCCTCTGCTGTTCCTATTTCCTTTGCTTGTGTTGTTGATGAAAGGAATGGGAAAAAAAGAAACAAGAACAAACCTCTCAAAGGATTCCACTTTATAGGATCATTCTGAAGAAAGTGCTTTACCAACCCTCAATTGTTTTATAAATAAAAATGAATTGTAATTTTTATAAATAAAAAAATTTTAATGCAAATTCCACAACTTTATTTGCCTTTACCTTTTTTCCATAACTTATGTGATGTTTACAAGAACTGCTATTTATAAAATCATCAGACTCTTTACGTGATTGTTACCAAATGTTAAAATACCTGGGGTTTACCTTGGAGAACATGCTTTAAGTAATTTGCAGAATTCCATTTGTTTGCAGAATTCAGATTAAGAAGTTGCTTACTACCAAGAAAAGTTTACATACATATGTACATACAGATACATATATTATTTCATTGAGCCTCTCGTGGAGTGGTAACATTTTATATGTTTAAAAAGAATTGCCTTCCTTACAACAATTATTTTAAAATGTTTTTACTAAATTTTAAATTCATCTCTTCACATTTTTTTCAGGGCTCTCTGAGTTGCAAATAACTACGTTTAATTTGAAACAGTATACATACACAGAATGTTTTTAGAAATATGGTGTTTTGAATGTAGACTTTGGGGTTGGGAATATGTTAACTAAAAATACTGCTATTCTTTCTTAGTTGTTTTAAAGATAATGCTCAGTTTTAAACATCTCTTAGAATTCTTTAAGGTTTAATATCACTTAAATAATTTTGTTAAATAAGTGGAATTTTACTTATTTTTTAAATTCTTATTGGTATCTTTGATTTCTTTCTAAATATATACCTCCTCCCTCCCCACCAAACCATTCCTTGTAACAAGGAATAAAAAAAAGAAAGAGGGAAAAAAAAACATTACTTCAGCCAAACTAACCAACACATCTATTTAGTTTGATGGTGTATTGCTTGTTCCACACCCACACCACTGCAAAGGAGAAAGGTACATTTCCTTGTCTCTTCAGTGAGTGACATTTTCTCAGTAATTCCATAAATATTCATTACATGTATACTGTGTGCCAGTCACTGTACTAAGTGCTGAGGATACATTTTAAATAGAATTAAGCCACTTAGTACTTTCTGTTCCAAAAAACTTTAAATATCTTTGTAAAAAGTTACCTGTGCCTCCCGCCTGGGGCAGCTAGGTGGCACAATGGATAGAGTTCTGGGCCTGGAATCAGGAGGACTCATCTTCTTGAGTTCAAATCAAGCCTCAGACACTTAGCTCTGTGACCCTAGGCAAGTCACTTAACTTTGCCTCAGTTTTGTCATCTGTAAAATGAGCTGGAGAAGGAAATGGCAAACTACTTCCACTATCTTTGTTAAGAAAACCTCAAACAGGGGCAGAAAGAATCAGACATGACTAAAAAAAATCGAACAACAGTGCCGTCTACCTATAATGACATTCCTCAGTTTCTTGGCTAGTTAAATAAGCATAGTCTGAGTGTCATTAGAAGGTTGCCTACTGAACACTTTATTACAAGTTCTAAACCTTTTAGTTTAAGAAGAATGAGGTTTTTTCATTTTTTTATCTGAATGCTTTTAGCTAGTAAGAGGTAATTTTTTTTCACAGTCATACAACTCAAAAGATGAGCCTGATATGAAATATCAGATAGATGAGCCAAAAATATGAAATGCTTCTCAGTTTTATGTGACCCCTACCCTTTTGCTACCACTGTGATAATGGCAAAAAAAAAAAAAAGGGAAGCAAGTGCATGGACCATCTTTTAGACTAGCTAAGTGGAATATGGGTTTACAAGTTTTCCTTGGAAAGGGAGATAAAAGGAGTTGGAGGAATTGGTTGTATTGTGTATCCAGAAGCAACCAAAAGCATCATTTCATGGGACATTTAGTCTATATTGCATTGCTATGGTAAGAACCCTTGTCCTCATACAAGTTAGGCTAACTTTAATTTAGACTAAAAGGTATTGAAATATTTTTGAGATTTGGTTGGCTCATGAGTTCAGGCTGTTGATATCACTTCCTAGTTGTCTGGCAAAACAATCTCAAGGAACTCCAGGCTTCTCTAATGCTGACCTGGTTAATCATGAATGGGCCAGGCAAAGAAACTTTGAACTGCTGAATCAATCCAAGGTGTCCTTAATGCCTATCCTTGTTGAATATCCACCTACTATAACTATACTATACTGTACTATACTATACTATATTATACTATACTATACTATACCATACTATAACTATATACTATAAGTATATCTCCTTAACTGTTCAGTAACCTAAGAATGTCTCATTTTATCCCAGTATTGTTTGTAAACCTTTAGGGGGCTGACCTGATTCATGTCCACCCCGGAACAATTGCTTATAAGTATTTCTCAAAAGACCACCGTGAAAATAATTATAGTTTACATAGTATTTCTGTTGCAGATGTTGAGGAGGTAGAGAAATTCTGTGAAGAGCTTGTTAAGCTCTTATTGCAATGTTTATTCCTGACTTCTGAAGACTGAGGAAGTAAGCCTCTTGCCTGTTAGCAGAGATATGGTTTTCTAGAGGTGTAGAATGAATCATATGTTTTCCGACATGATTAGTGTTAATTTGTTTTGATTGACTGTAGCTATTTTACAAGGAAGACCAATTGGGTGGGGGCAGGGAGAGAAAGTGGGAAGCAGCAGAAGTTTAAAAAAAAAAAGTCAGGAGTATCATTGTAAGACTACAGTTAAATCAACATACACTTTGATCCTTAAAGTCTTCAGTGTAAAGTTGGCATAGGTGAATACAGGGGAAAATATGTTGTGATATATAACTACTGCATATGGTTCAATAGTAAAAGAATGAGAGAGAAGAGAAGGTCTTATCTACTACACAGATACCTCAGGCCTAAATATCACGAAAACTTTTCAAGAAAAGAATTAGAAAACACTAGATATGGTGAATACTAATATCTAAAAACTGAAATCGATTGTATTTTACCACACAGGATATGACTTTTATAGATATGGAATAACTGAATACCTGTCTGTACAGTAAGACAACTTTTTATAGAGGAGATACTAATACAAAACTTGAAGGAAATCAAAATGAAAAAAGATATGGAGTGCGTTTAAAATGACTCCAATCTGATCTGCTTGATTTTTAATATTAAACTTAACAGACACCAAATAAAATAGGCATTTTTATATACATAGTAGAATAGAAAAGGTACATGAAATTGCGGTTCTCTATTATGTAGAGCTTGCTTTTCTTTTTAAATATATAATAAATTCAACATATTACTTTCAAAGCTGTGCTACTTGCCTGTGATTCTAGACTTCCTTCTGTTCTCTTCTTTGTATTTAAAAATGCTTCAGTGATTCTCTGTTTTTGTTTTGTTTTGTTTTGGCTACCCTAAACTTAGCCTCGTTTTTCTTCCTTCAGTTCACTCCCACTTCATTGGAAAAAGAAGAAAATCTTTCTAACAAACACATAGTCAAGCAAAGCAAATGTCCACATTGATTGTGTCTGAAAATGTATTTCTTATTCTGTATCTTTAGTTTCTCTGATGTTGGATCACAAGTTTTACCATCAGCCCTCTGGCATTTTTGGGCTGGTCTATTGACTTGACCTAATTAAATTAATTAAGATCAATTAAACAAAAGACCTTTTACATCAATCATAACAAATCAGAAGTCTACCTAATACAAATCAATTGCCTTAATGAGACCAAAAGAGCCTAAAAATCACCGTAGTCAGTAAACAATGATATTCACAAAACAAAGATGGCAACCAAGTACAACACTGGTTTGGAGTATAAACTTTTTTTTATGAAATCATATAAATAATGGTAGAAAGTGACAAGTAGCGTTGTCTCTAATAACAGCAAAAAGCAATGTGAGGGAAAATAAGCTTAACACTAGAAGGAGTGTTAAACCAGGTGTGTTAACTGAAAATTAATTTTACTTTGAAATATAAATTTTCTTCCTATTATCTCTACCTCTTTGCCTTATGGATGAAAAAAAAATTACTGCATCAGTTGATGTGGCTTGGTCCTTTGAGTTATTTTTAAATTTCAGTCCTTTAGATGTTAAGAAAAGTTTTAAATAAGACACCCAACTAAATCAAGTTATCCAATGGTTCTTTAAGGATGACATTGGAAGGAAGAACAGCTAATGGATAAGAAATGGAGAACACTTTTATAACAAATTTTTCTCACCATCAGACATGGGGAAACCCTCCACTCCCTCTGTGTTTGAATTCTTTTAACATCACAGTCCTTGATTTCCTTCTTGAGGAAATAGATTTGGCACTGGAGAAAACAGATAAGTAAAAACTGAACTAGATCAAATATATATAATCTGTGCTGGCAGATTGTGAGGGCATTGAGGGATCTTAAGCTATGTTGAAAGAGACACTTTAAAATATATTAAAGAGGGGGCAGCCAGGTGGCTCAGTGCCACCTAGCTCCAGCCTTGGAGTCAGGACGACATGAGTTCAAATCTAACCTCAGACACTTGAAACTTACTAGCTGTGTGACCCTGGGCAAGTCACTTAACTGATTGCCTCACCAAAAAAAAAAGTGTGTGTGTATGTGTATATATATATATAATATATGTATGTATGTATGTATATAAAAGAGGTATGTAGCAAAAGTATAGGGGGAAAAATCTTGCACATTATTACAGTATTTGGCAAAGATACTTGAAAAAACATCCGTAATTACCTATCTGTGTCTACTTTTGCACTTACAGTAATTTTTTGATGAGGATAATCAAAATACATATCAAGGTATTTTTGATGAGTATATTAGAAGACAGACTTTAATAAACAATATTCCATAGTAAACTAAGTCTTAACTATCACAAAACTGACTAAAAGATATAGAGAATACAGTTTCCCCCATTATCTGTAATTTGTTGATTATAAAAGAGCAGTTGATTTAGTAGAATGAAGTGCTACCTTAAAATCACTCTTCCAACATCTCTCCCACACATAACAGTTATACAAGGTTCCTTGAACTACATAAGAGAAAACTTTGCTCAACCCTATGGTTATTAACATCAGTTGAGACATAAAACAGAAATAAATGTCTGCCATAGGTGTTTACCACTGTTATGGGGGTGAAGAGCAGAGTCCAAGTCAAAAAGGAATTTCCTGGGGCAGCTAGGTAGCACAGTGGATAGACCACTGGCCCTGGATTCAGGAGGACCTGAGTTCAAATCTGGCCTCAGACACGTAACACTTACTAGCTGTGTGACCCTGGGCAAGTCACTTAACCCCATTGCCTACCCCAAAAAAAAAAGGAATTTCCCATAGATGGTGAAGTCCTCTTGATGTTCTTGTTTGTGTAAGATATGTATTGATTATATAAAGTTTGAAATATCGCAGAGTCTTCTAAATGAAATTCATAATCACTTGAAAGAATTTGGTCTAACTATCCTCAGAAGAAAAACCAAGTGGATGAAGAATGTCTAATGTCCAAATACTGATGTGAAGTTAGATTGATTAATGTAGAGAGCTCATCCATCAGCATATTTTTCTTAAATAAATACTGTACATAGACAGTGAGATGAGCCCAAAATTGACTAGGAGAGCAGGCTGGTTCATCTTTAGGAAATTGCAAAGTTATTATAGTGACTCCAAACTTACTGAAAAAAAGACCTGGCTTTTCAGCATCATATTTCTGATATGTATATATGTGTGTGTATGCATACATGTGCTTTCCCTCCCTTTTAACTATGGGCTTCTCTGTCTGGGTCCTTTCTTCATCTCCCTACAATCTAATCATTTGAACCCATAAATTCAATTACCTCTATGCATATGACTCCCAGATCTATATGTCTATCTCATCTATCTTCTGAGTGCCAGTCCTGTATTACCAACTGTCTAGTGGACATTTAGAACTGGTTATCCTGTAGACATCTCGAAGGTATCACATCTAAAAAAGGACTCGTACTTTTCCCTGAACCTATCCCTTTTCCCAACTTCCCTATTTTTCTTGAAGCTAATGTCATCTTTCCAGACATGAAGGTTTAAAACCTTGATGTTACAAACATTAGCAACTAGGTGTCTCAGTGGATACCTATGAAAAAAACCATTTTATAGAAACTGGAAAGCAGTCTGGCAGAAACTTAGACATAAATCAACACCTTATACTATATTCCACAATATTTAATAATAAATTATAATATACTATTTAATATGCAAGAAAAAAGTTAGAAGAGAAATAGATCGTGTACCTCTTACAGCTACAGTTAAGAGATGTATTTTTAACCGAATTAGATAGAAGCAAAAGAAAAAAAAAACTTTGATTACTTGAAACTGAAAAGCTTCTGCATAGACAATGTAAATGTACCTAGGATAAGAAAAGTGATCAAATGGTAAAAATCTTTGTATCAAATTTCTCTAAAGTTTTTGCTAGCCAAGATATTATAAACAATAAAAATATATAAGACTAACAATTTGCCAGTCAATAAATGATCAAAGAATTTATTCACAGCCACATGAAAGAATACTCTAAATCACTAATAATTAGAGAAATACAAATGAAAAACAACCCTGAGGTTTCACTTCACACCCTGCAAATAGGTAAAAATGATGATAATACTGGAGGTGTTGTGGAATGATAGGTACACTAATACATTGTTGGTGCAGCTACGAAATGGTACAGCCATTTTGGAAAACAGTTTGGAGTTATGCAAATGAGGTGACTAAAATATTCATACCTTTTGAACCAAAGACTCCATTACTGGGCTGATAGTCCAAAGAAGGCAATGATGAGAAGAAAATCCCCCATATGTGGACCTCAGTTTTTCTAATCTATATAGTGAGAAGTTTCAACTACCTTTCCTTGACTTCCTTCAAGTCTTAACTGAAGTTCCATGTTCTGCAAAAAGTTTTTCTGGGTCCTCTGTAATGTTTTGTGCCTTCCCTCTGGAGATTATCTCAAATTTATCCTATAATGCCTTGTTTGTGTATAGTTGTTTGCATGTTATCTCCACCGTTAGACTGTGAGCTCCTTTTGAGAGCAGGAACTATTTTTTCCTTTCTTTGTAAACTCAGCATTTAGCTCAATGCCTGGCACATAGTAGGCATTTAATAAATGATTGTTGATTTGACTTGATTTAACTCTCAAGGTTCCTTCCATTTCTAAACTTGTGCTTCTCTGGCTACCTAAAAACAATGAAATGACCAAAAGGCAGGTACAATGGTTGAGAAGGAATTGTCGCAACCCACAGTTTAAGAAGCTCTGAATGGGTTGCCAGTGGAAAAAATTGAAGAAGCCCTGGTCTCGAGAAGGACAGCTAGGTGGCGCAGTGGATAGAGCACTGGCCCTGAAGTCAGGAGGACCTAAGTTCAAATTCGGCCTCAGACCAAATATTTGACTATTACTGTGTGACCTTGGGCAAGTCACTTAACCCCAATTGCCTTTAACAAAAAAAAAAAAAAGAAGCCCTGGTCTAGATAATTAGATAAGAAATAATTTCAACTCAGTCACTGAATAATTGAATTGGGAGTATATTTGGGGGGGAAAAAACCATCTGAATTTAAAGGAAGGGTTAGTTTTTTTTCCACTCTGACATTTTGGGATTCTGCTGTGCAAATAATAGTTTATTTTTTGAGTTCCTTTCAAGTGCTTGTAGTTGTAAAATGTTCTCTTTGGAATTCTCTCCAAAAAGCTTTTTAGAAACTTGCTTAAATTTTAGACAATGTGGTTCTATATTCTGTCCACTTAACAAGTATGATTAATTTGGGTTTGCCAGCTGTATACACAGTAAAAATGTTACAATGTTGAATGTTCTTACAAATTATTTTGACTTCTTGCTGTTGCAGACAAAACTTACCTGGGGTCCCTACTTGTGGTTTTACATGCTTCGTGCTGCCACATCAACACTTTCAGGTATTGCTTTAAAATTTTAGTACTGCGAATAGCAGGTGACATAGCAGCATTGATTTAGTAAACTACAATACAGGTAGAGTGAAGGAAGGAAGGGAATGTAATCAAAACAACCCTTCTCTAGCTCCTACCTATTGTTTTCACAGCTTTAAAATGCTAAACTATACCTCTGTCTCACCTATCACTTCCTCATTTTCCAATGATGTTTTACTGGTTAAATCTGCTTGCTTTTTCTTAATCCTTATTCTTTTTGTCCTCTGAGCTACTTTTGTCATAATTGATTGTCTCCTCCTGAATATTTTCTCTTTCCTTGGCTTTCATGACATTGTTACCCTCTTGGTCCTCTTCCTACCTTTCCAAATGTTCCTTTTCATTCTGATTTGCTAAACCATCATCCATATTTTATTCTTTAATCTCAAATATTTGTAGAAAGAATCAGATTCTGTTCAGGGCCCTCTTGACTTTTCTTTCCAAACTCCATTTTGGTAATCTCATTAACTCTTGTAGGTTCAGTTACTATCTCTATGAAGATGACTCCCCAAATTATGCATACAACATTATCCGTCTCCTGAATTCTAATCCTGCATCATCAACTGTCAACTATTCTCTGAAGACAAGGACTTTTTCATTTTGTCTTTGAATCTCCAGTACCTGGAACATAGTAGACAATTAATAAATGCTTGTTGATTGATTGACATCTCTGCCTAGATGGTCCCATAGGCATCTCAAAATCAACATCTTCCCTACTCCCTAAACCTGCCCTTCCTACAGACTTCTCTTGTTTTCTTCTGTTCGCTCAGTGGAGTCATTCTTCATATTTTCACACTTCTCTCCATCTAATCAGTTGCCACATCTTGTTAATTCTGTGGCTGCAGTATTTCTTGCATCTGTCTTATCTCTCAACTCATGGACACCAACCTCATGCAGATCTTTATTGCCTCTTGCTTGGATTCATTGGTATGTTTTATTGCTGCCCCCTGCCTTAACATATCACCTGTCAACCCTTTCTTGTGACAAAGAAAAAACAATTAAGCAAGTACACCCAATATACTGATTGTATCTGAAAATTTATATAATATTATGTAACTTCCCACCTCTCTGCCATAATGGGGGATTGAGGGACCTATATCTCATTATCTGACTCTGAGATCTTTATTGATTTTTCAGTTATTCAGAATGCAATTTGATTTACAGATATTTTCATTTATATTATTCTGGTGGTTGTATATATTACTTTCTTGGTATTGCTTATTTTACTTTGTGTCATTTAAGAAAGTCTTCCATGCAGATCAAAGCATACTATTTTCTGTCCCTTTTCTTTTATTTGTTCTTTCTCATGGTTTTCCCCTTTTGTTCTGATTCTCCTTTCACAACATGACTAATGTGGAATATGTTTTAAAAAAATCTTCCCATGTTTCCCTGAATTTATATTATTCATCATTTCTTATTACATATTATTACATAATGATATTCCATTTCATTTATTATCTCATAGCTTTCTAGTAATTTCCTAATGATTGGCACCCACTTTTTATACAGTTCTTTGCTATCATAGAGTGCTACTATTAATATTTTAATATGTATTAGATTTTTGTTTCTGTTTTTTATTTCTTTTTTGTATCTTTTTTTGTTTCTTTTCTTAAAAATTTATTTTTTATTTTTCAACATTCACTTCCATAAGATTTTGAATTTTAAATTTTCTCCCCCTCCCTTTCCTTCCCCCTCCCCAAGACAGCATGCAGTCTGATATAGGGTCTACTTATACATTTATATTAAGCATATTTTCCTATTAGTCATGATGTAAAGAAGAAGTAGAACTAATATGAGGAACCATGAGAATGAAGCAATAAAACAAAACAACAAAAAAAAAAATTGGTGTTCCAATTTTCCCACATCTTCTCCAACATTTATCATATTTCTGTTTTGTCATGTTAGCCAATCTGGTAGGTGTGTGTTTTTTATCTTTGGGACATTTCACCAATAGAATAGTAAGATTGTTGATTATGCAAAGTTTAATCCCTTTGCATAATTTCAAACTGTCGTCCAAAACTATTTCGTAGCTCTAGAAACAGTGCATTCATGTTCCTCACCTCCCATAGCCCCTCCGTTAGTGACTATTGCCATTTTTTGGTCATCTTCATCAATTAGCTTGGTGTGAGATAAGACTTCAGAGTTGTTTTAGTTTATGTTTATCTTACTCTTAGTGATTTATAACTTGTTTTTATGTGAGAATTTATAGTTTGCACTTATTTTGAAAACTGTTCATATCCTTTAACCATTTATCTGTTGGGGAATGTCTCTTGATATGTTTTCTTGTCAGTTTTCTATATAGTTTGGATATCAGTTTCCTCAGCTATATATGATTGCAAAGATTTTTCTACTTTTTCATTTCTCTATTGATTCCATCTTTATATTAAACACTTTTTAATATTATGTATTTTAGTTTTTATGATCTCTTCTATCCCTAATTGGTTTAAGAATTCTACCCCTAGCTATATTATGAAAGTTACATGATTGTATTCTCTTCTGATGTTTTTGTGATATGATGTATTATATTTAGGTCATATAACCATTTTGATATATAGTGGCGTATGGTGTGCTTGGTCTAAATTAATTTCTGCCAACCTACTTTTCAGTTTTCCTAAGAGTTCTTATCAAAAAGGTAGTCCTTTTATTAACTGAGACTCTTGGTTTTTCCAAAAACTAGGCTTCTGTTCTATATAATTTCTGTTTTTTGCTTATCTAGGCTGACCTGTTGATCTATTTTTCTGTTTTTTGATCTCAGCTGGAGTATTCCTTCTAATTGGTTCAGTAGAATGTAAGTTCTTGAGGGCAGAGACTATTTTCACTTTTGTATTTGTATTTCCAGCATCTAGCCCAGTGCTTGGCACACAGTAGGTGATTAATAAATGTTTATTGATTTATTGGTTTCCCTGGTTCTGATCTCTTCTCTCTCTAGTCCATCATGCACACAATGGCCAACTGATTTTCCTAAAACCTGCTCCTCCCAAAGAACCTTCAGTGACTTCCATTTCCACTAGAGTAAAATAAGAAATGCCCAGCTTAGCATTTAAAGCCCTTCACAGTCTGGCTCCAGCCTTTTTTTCCAAACTTTTTTTTTTAAAAAGCTATCTCTTCATCAAGCTCTCCTTCAAGCAATCTACATTCTAACTATCTTGGCCTCCTCACTCTTCCCACATACAGAAATCCATCTTTGATCTTGGAGCCTTTGCATGATCTGGTCTCCATGCCAGGAACATAACTTTTTCCTCATATAAGGATCTTAATATGCTACAGACTTAATTTGGCTGTTAGCGTTCCCTACCTCCTTCTTGCCTTGCATATAGAATGTATTTAATAAGTGCTTGTTTTATTGTATTTTTTTTTAAATTGGCCTATAGAATTGATAAAGTACTGTAATATCCATGTGGCATTCCATTTATGAACCTTACCTGCTTTTTATTGGATTTTGACCCTATTGCTCTTCTTATTATGTTTTTCTCTTCCTGGATTCAAATTATATTCACTTTATACTTGCTTAACAGCTATTATATTTCATTGACATTACATTTAAATCAAGATAAGGTTAGAAAAGTGATCATTTTGAAAAACTTTCTTTGATTTCTCTGCATTTGACAACTGATGACTACCCCTTCCTTTTGGATGTTGCCTTTTCTCTTGACTTCCATGACAATACATTCTTCTGGTTCTATTCATATTTCCCCAACTGTTCCTTTTTTTTTTTCTTTCACTGATTCTTCAGCCTCTTGCTACTCCTTAAGGTAAGGTTTTTCCAAGGTTCTATTCTGGCCCTTTTCTATAACACTCACTATATTTTCTCCCTTAGTAATCTCATTCATTCTAATGACTTCATGTAGTATCACTTCCATGCAGATGACTCCTAAATATCTAGCAGTAATCTCTCTCCCAAGCTTCATGGAGGTTTACATTTCCCACTCCCTCCACAACATGTCCCCCTGGATGTCACATTAACATCGCAACTTCAACATACCTTAAACCTACTTTTCCTTCTTACTTAATCAATGGTGCTACCTGGTCACCAATATTCAAAACTCCTCTTATCTTTATTTCTTCTTCCACCTCTCATTTCTAGTTATAAAGTCCTAAGGATTTAATCCCCATCTACTCCCTCCTTTCTGTTTGGTACTGACAGCAGTCTAGTATAGGTCCTTATTACCACCCAACTAGACTGTATAGCAACAGCCCCTTAATATAATTTCCTGCCTATACTCTCCCCATTCCACCCATCTTTCACACTGCTGCCAAACAAATTTTCCTTAAATATAAATCTAATCTTGCCTGGGCCTTAGTCTCCTAATCTATAAAATAAAGGTGCTAAGCTAAATGATCAAAGGTTTCTTTTAGCTTGAAGTCATGTGATCCATGCTATTTCTCTGCTCAAACGTGTTCCCTATTACTTAGGGAACATTGCAGCCAAAATGGATTGCTAGTTATCCCTGGAAAAACATTTTCTCCTACCTAGTATTCCTTCCTCGTCCCTCCACTTACTGAATCCCTACCCATCCTCTAAATAAAAACTCAAGTGCTACCTCTTCCAATTACCTTGTATTAAGGTTATTCATATTAGAAAATAAATTCCATGTGGGTAGAGTTGTCCTATTTAAGCTTTTTACTTTTCTTCCCACCTAATTTGCTACTCTGTGTGCAGTCAATAATTAGTAAATGTTTGTTGAATTAAAAATTAAGTACTGTAAGTTCAAGTTTTTATTTAGAATTCTTTATTATTTTAACTTTGTACCCTCAGTGTGTGACTTTCTTGGAGAGAAGATTGCATCACTTCTGGGTATCAGCACCCCTAAGTACCAGTATGCCATTGATGAATATTACCGGATGAAGAAAGAGGTGTGTCTCTCTTTACTGGTTATATTTTTTTTTACCCAAGGTTTATATGAACATAAATTAACTTACCTATTTAACCTATATTTTACCAAAAGGCATCTCACTTGCACTAGGAACTTTATCCTAAAGTTATTGATTTCTTTTTCAGACCCAGACCTATGTTTTCATGCTTTGACCAGAATTTCACTCTGAACTATTCAGAATCTATTCTGTGATTTATAGCCATCACAGGAGCTTGGAGGATATTTACATAAAGCTCTAAGCTTACTAGGCACCATTTCCTCTCTTGAACTGGCCTCTGAATGGTCTAAAGTTTGCCCTTCTCTGATATACATGTAAGGAAGCAGCATAATATAGAAGAGAAGAGCGTTGTCATTGAAATGAAAGACATGGCCTTGAATTCTGCCTTTGATACTTACTAGTTATGTAACCAGAGACAAGTCACTTGACTTTGCCACGCTCTATGCTTTTCTTCTTGCTGTTTCTTACATATGGTACTACGTATTTGTACAGGCTGTCTCCTCTACACCCCCACCCCCCAGCCTGGAATGCACTTTTTCCTCACCTGTGCTTTTTGCATTCCTTGCTTCTTTCAAACTGAGCTTAAATGTCATCTTATATATGAAGCCTTTTCTGATCCCTGTTCCCAAGCTGCTAGTGTCCCTCCCAATTACTTTGTATTTATATTGTATATAATTATATGTGTATATATTGTCTCCTCTGATGAAATGTAAGCTATTTTAGGGGAGAGACTGCTTCATTTTTATGTTTGTATCATTAGCACCTGTCGTGGTTCCTAGTACATGGTAAGTACTTTGTTGATTGACCTCTCTGAAGCTCATTCTCTTCATCTGTAAAATAGGGATAAAAATATCTATAATATTTACCTCACAGGATTGTTGTGAGGCTTAAATAAATTAATTAATGCAAAGTGCTTTGCAAACCTTAAAGTGTTATATTAATGCCAATTGTTATTAGTTTACTTTATATATAAACTTTATGAAGGAATCAGAATATTTTTATTATTCAATGAAAGTCTGAAATACTGTACCACTAGCACAAAAATGCTATCATTTCAAAAGAGTTAGTAGTTTTGCTTATGAGATACTATAAGATAGGGAACACTTAATTGAGAGTCAGGGAAGCTAGCTCCAGCAGTGAATCCAGTCATGATCAAGTTATTTAAATTTTTCTGACTCAGTTTCTCCATTCTTTAATACTTTGAATCTATGATATCATGGAGATAGCAAACTTTCTGGGCCTTCTTATCCAGCTTATAGGCAGCTAGGTGACACAGGGGATAAACAGCTGGACTTGGATTAAGGAAGACCATACTTTAAATCCAGCATCAGACACTTACCAATTGTGTGACTCTGGGCAAGCCATTTATCAACTTTATTCTCTCAATAATCCTGTGAGATAGGTGCTATTATTATCCCCATTTTACAGTTGAGGAAACAAGTTGATAAATAAAAGTGAGATAACATATACAAGGCTTTGCAAACCGTAAAGCACTATATAAATACCAGCTTTATATCCTTCTGTTCTTCCTCCTCCTTCCCTAGTTCTTGTTTATGTCTGCAAATCCATAGAGTGCTTAAATACATTGGAAATGGAATGGAAATCAATGATACTAAGATTGGTCCATCTGTTATCTTCATCCATAAAATATCAATCTTTTTGACTTATCTTTATTTCACTAGGATAAGGACAGATTTTATGGTAATAATTGTTATATATTATGACATTTGAGTTTAATTGATATAAAAGTAGAAATTTTCTACATAAAAATTCAGATTTGGACCTATACTTGCCCTATAACTTGTTGTTCAGTAGTTTCAGTCGTGACTGACTCTTCATGACCCATTTGGGGTTTTCTTGACAAGATACTGGAGTGATTTGCCATTTCCTTCTCCACCTCATTTTACAGATGAGGAAACTGAGGCAAAGAAAGTTAAGTGAATTGCCTGGGGTCACCTAGCTAGTAAGTAACTAAGTCCAGATTTGAACTCAGGTCTTCCTGACTTCTCTGTCTACTTCAACACCTAGCTAACCGCCCTATAACTGCTCACATTTATATTGCACCTTAGGGTTTAGAAATTATGAGATAGGACTCAGGTGTGGGGAATCTGCAGCCTTGAGGTCACATGTGGCCTTTTAGGTTCTTTGTATCTAGGCCTTTTGACCGAGTCCAAGTTTTACAGAACAAATCCTTTTATTAAGAGAATTTGTTCTGTGAAGTTTGGATTCATTACATTCATATACCAGAACTTGGTCAGCCATTCCTCAGTTGATAGGCATCCCCTCAGTTTCCTATTCTTGGCCACCACAAAAAGAGCTGCTATAAATATTTTTGTACATGTGGGTCCTTTTCCCATTTGTATGATCTCTTTGGGATACAACCCTAGAAGTGGTATTGCTGGGTCAAAGGGTATGCCCAGTTTTATAACCCTTTGGGCATAGTTCCAAATTACTCTCCAGAATGGTTGGATCAGTTCACAACACCACCAACAATGCATTAGTGTTCCAGTTTTCCCACATCTTCTCTAGCATTCATTGTTTTCCTGTTTTAGGTGTAATGGTACCTCAGAGTTGTTTTGATTTACATTTCTCTAATCAATAGTGATTTAGAGCATTTTTTCATATGACTATAGATAGCTTTAATTTGTACATCTTAAAACTGCCTGTTCGTATTCTTTGACCATTTATCAATTGGGGAATGACTTGTATTCTTATAAATTTGACTCAGTTCTCTGTATATTTTAGAAATGAGGCCTTTATCAGAGACACTGATTATAAAAATTCTTTCCCCATTTTCTGCTTCCCTCCTAATCTTGGTTGCATTGGCTTTGTGCAAAAACTTTGCAATTTAATAATAATTAAAATTACCCATTTTGCATTTCCATAATGTTCTCTAGTCTTACTTAATTCTTTAATAATACACTGCTGTATTCAAATTGGACTACTTTTCGTTTCCTAAAAATGCTTTATTCTCTTTTCCCTTTGTGAGTGATATTCTTTTCTCATGAGATGTTTTCTTCCTTCTCACACCTTTCTTTTTTCAAAATACTAACTAATTTTTTCAGTTCTTTTCTACCCACCTCGCCCCTGCTATCATCTTCAGGGACTGCAGTTTTCATGTTGCTGACCTTACAAACAACCTCTTATCTTAACCAGTTTGAGAGTAGAGCATGCTTTTTTTGGGAGGAGAAGGGAGTTTTGTGTTCCTAGCACCTCTGTCTTTTTCCTATTAGATCTAGAAGTTGACATGGACTCCTTCGATCCCATTATTGTTTAAAATTGCTCCCCCTCTCAAATTTTGAATTCTTCAGCCATAATTACATCCCTGCTTTTATATTTCTTCTGTTTTGTCATTCACTGACAAACTTATTCTTCATCCATATTGAGAATTTGAACCTTTCTATTCTTCTAATCTGTCTTTAGCTCTAGTGTTTTTTGCTGTGGCAAGTAGGTTCTTTAAGTTTAAGTTTCTCTCTATATAAAATTGGGGCAGCCAGGTGGCTCAGTGGATAGAGTGCTGGGCCTGGAGTCAGGAAGACTTATCTTCCTGAGTTCAGATACAGCATCACACACTTACTGGTTGTGTGATCCTGGGCAAGTCACTTAACCCTTTTTGCCTCGGTTTTCTCATTTGTAAGATGAACCGGAGAAGGACCACTACAGTGTCTTTGTCAAGAAAACCCCAAATGGATTCATGGAATCGAACATGACAGAACAACTGAACAATATCTGAAATATATAAAAATTGAAAGCATAGTACTTTTTTCTACATACCTTGTAGAAGTATTATAAGGACAATGCTTTTGTTGTTGTTTTGCCATTTTCTTCTCCAGTTCATTTACAGATAAGGAAACCGAAGCAGACAGAGCTAAGTGATTTTCTCAAGGTTACACAGTAAGTTTTTGATTCCGGATTTGAATTCCAGTGTTCCTGACTCCAGGCCTGGCACTCAATCCACTGCGCCACCTAGCTGCCCCCCTAAAAATGTTATTGCTAGTCTAAAATTCTTCTGCTCTGCCTTTCATCTGCCTATTCTCAGCCCTGGATAACTGCCCTGCCCCCTCTCCCTCTTTACCCTTCACTACATGGTTCTATATTGGTGAATGTTTCAGGAGAAATCCATGAAATAAATTTCATTTCATTTACAATAAATGTAATGTAGTTTAACCTCAACTAGGCTCTTCCTATTGCCTTTTAGTCAACTCTTATTGATATCTTATGTCAGTACCTACAATAATTCATCCAAATCTTTTCCTTTCCCTTTACGTACCAGCAGTTCCTCTTTTTACACTCAAAATTGATTTCCTTGTCTTCTGCTTTACTAAGAGAAGATCAAGGAACTTTGTTGTAAGATTTCTTAACTTCATACTTCAGCATTAAACTCTTTACAATATCAATCAGAATTACAGAGTTGGAAGGAATCTCAGAGATCTATTTTGTCTAACATCCTTCTGAAAATTACTGAAAATGAATACCTATCTAAGCTCCAGTACTACATTGTGAAAAACCTTTTGTACATTTTGAACTGGATATTTCTTAGACATCTCAAGCTCAACATATCCAAATTCCTCATATTATCATTTAACATATCCTCATGATTTTTTCCCACAGTGTCCCACAGTTTCATATTTTTCTATTTTTAGGGAAAGCATTACCATTAGTTTTAGTTCTCAATCTTGGTGTCATCCTTGATGATTTGTTTTCTGTCACTACCCATTTCCAATCAGTTGCCAGATCTTATCACTCAGTATCTATTGTATCTTTCTGTTTCTTCATACTCATGCAGTCAAAAAGGCCATCATCATCTCTCATCTCCATTAGCCTCCCTAATTAGTTTTCCTGCCTCAGAACTCTTTTCTTTCCAATCCATCGTTAACACCGTGCCAAAATGATTTTTCTAAAGTACAGATCTGACCATATTACCTAATAAATTCCAATATTTTCTAATACCTGTAGGATCAATTATAAACTCCTGCATTTGG